ACTCAGGAAGCTGACAGAAGGGTTACAAGTTTTGAGGCCAGCTTCAGCTATCTATTTAGTAATATCCTGTCTCAAAATAAAAAATATAAAGGGCTGGGAATGTTTGTCAGTGGTAGAGTTCCCCTGGGTTCAATCCCCACTAACAAAAACAAAAAGTTGGGTTCAGTGTTCCATGCCTGTAATCCCAGTGATTTGGGAAGCTGTGGCAGGAGGATCACAAGTTCAAAGCCAGCCTCAGCAATTTAGTGAGGCCCTGAGCAATTTAGTGAGACTGTCTCAAAATTTAAAAAACTAAAAAAGGCTGGGGATATTGCTCAGTGGTTAAATGCCCCTGGGTTCAATTCCTAATGCCAAAAAAGGAAAGAAATGGATAATCTAAATAGCCCTATGTGTATTTTCAATTGAATTTGTGGTCTAAAGCCTTCCTATAAATTAGACTCTGAGCACATATGGTCCCCTTGGTTATTTCTCCCTCTTCCTACCCAAACACTGGTAGTTTCTACCAAACTTATAAAAAGAAGCAGCACAAATTCTCAACAAACTCTTACAGAAAATTGAACAGAAGGGGATTCTTCTGACTCTCTAAAGCTAGTGATATACTGATGTCATAACTAAAGTCATTACAAGAAAACTACAGAAAATATACCTCATAAATATAGATGCAAAAGTTAATAAAATTTTAGTAAACCAAATACAAGATATAAAAAGAATAATACATCATAGGTAAGTGGAATTTATCCCCGAAATGCAAAGTTTGCTTCACATTCATAAATTAATATAATTCAGTGTATTAACAGACCTAAAGAGGAAAAACAAACAATTATCCCTATAGGTGCAGTAAAAGCTTTTAATAATACTCAGTGTCTATTCCTAATTTAAAATATCTTGACATACTAGGAAAAGCAGAAAATTTCCATAACCTGATAAAGAGCACCTTAAAAAAAAAGTGTAGCTACTATCATTACTCAATGTTAGAAGACTAAATGTTTTACCCTAATATTAAAGACAAAGCAATGGTGCTGTTCTTATCACCTCTAGGCAACTTTATATTGATGGTCCTATACCCCCTTAACAAGTCAGAAAAGAAGTTAGAATACACATGTATATGAACAGTGGAAATAAAACTGCCCCTATTAGTATATGACAGGAATGCATATGTAGGAAACCCCAAAGAATGTACCAAAAAAATCTACAACGTCTAAGAACTGAGTTTAGTGTACAAGATGGACATGTGAAAATCAATTGTATTTCTATATATTAGTTGTGAATGATTGAAGATTGAAATTAAAAAGCAATACCAGTTATACAAAAAAAAATATGAGGGCTAGCTAGGGCTGTGGCTAAGTGGCAGAGAACTTGCCTAGCACATGTGAGGCACTGGGTTTGATCATAGGCACCACATAAAAATAAACAAAATAAAGGCATTATGTCCATTTATGACTAAAAATGTTTTTTAAAAATGTTATGCTGGTTTGCAGGTACTTGGATGGAGTTGGAGAAGATAATGCTAAGTAAAGTTAGCCAATCCCCCAAAAAACAAATGATGAATATTCTCTCTGAAATGAGGAGGCTGAGTCATAGTGGGGTAGGGAGGGGTACCATGGGAGGAATAGACAAAACTCTAGAAGGGAGGGGGCATGGGGTTAGAAATGATGGTGGAATGAGATGGACATCATTATCCAAAGTACATGTATGATGACATGAATTGTATGAAGACACTTTGTATACAACCAGAGATATGAAAATGTGCTCTGTGTGTGTAATATGAATTGTAATACATTCCCCTGTCATATATAACAAATTAGAATAAAAAAATTAAAGTAAATAAATAAATAAGATATGCTGGGACTGGGACTCAAGCAGTAGCATACTTGCCTGGCATGTGTAAGGTACTGGGTTCTATTCTCAGCACTGCATATAAATAAATAAAATAAAGGTCTATCAACAACTAAAAAATATTTTTTTAAAAAATATGATATGCTGTGTTTAGTCAGCTTTTCATCTCTGTGACAAAATACCTGAGAGAAACTTATTTATTTATTTATTTATTTATTTGGTGCTGGGGATTGAGCCCAGAGGCACTTTATCACTGAACTATATCCCCACCCCTTTCTTATTTATTTTTGTTTATTCTGAATAAACAAAATTTAAAGGAAGAAAGATTTGTTTTGGCACACAGTTTCAAAGGTTCCAGTTGACCGTTGGCGGCTCCATTGCTTTGGGCCTGGTTTGAGGCAGAACATCAAGGTGGAAGGATATAGTGGAGGAAAGCTCTTACCTCATGATAGCCAGGAAGCAGAGGGAGTAAGAAAAGGTCTAGGAACAGGATAAAGTCCCCAAAGGCATGCTCCTGAGGAACCACTCCCTTCAACTCAGTTCTAACCTCTACAGTTTTCACCACCCGCCAGAGTCCTTCCAAATTATTAATCCATCAGTTGATTAACCCAAAGATGAGGTTACAGCCCTCATGACTGAGTCATTTCCTAAAAGCCCCTCCTCTGGATATTGCTGCATTGGGGACCAAGACTTCGGGGTTTTTCCAGATCTAAACTTTAACATATGCTTGGTGATGAATCTGACAAAAGAAGTATAAAGTCCTATATGTTGGAAAGTAGGCTAATTTTTCTCAGAAATGCTTTGTAGTTTTTTTCAGTGTATAGCCCTAAATAAATGGAGAAATATGCTATGTCCAGGGGTCAAAAGACAAAATACTGTTGAGATTTTAATTCTTGGGGCTGGGGATATAGCTTAGTTGGTAGAGTGCTTGCCTCACATGCACAAGGCCCTGGGTTCAATCCCCAGCACCAAAAAAAAAAAAAAAAATTAATTCTTTCCAAATTGATTAATAAAGTCAATACAATCCCAATCAAAGATATTAGTAGACATTTTTGTTTTGTTTTGGTACCAGAGATTGAACCCAGGGGCACTTAACCACTGAGCCATGACCCCAGCCTTTTTTTATGCTTTATTTTGAGACAGGGGTCTCCATCAATTGCTGAGACTGACCTTGAATCTTCTGTCTCAGCCTCCAGAGTCACTAGGATTACAAGTGTGTACCACCACATCTGGCTCAGCAGGCTTTTAAAAATGTGTATTTGATAGCATTTCACAGGCTGATTTTAAAATTCATTTGGAAATGCAAAGAGAGGAAAGCTGTGTAGATAAAGACAGTTTTTAAGTTTTATGTGTTTTAGTGTGTCACTCCAGAGAAAGAAGCCCAAGAAAAAGAAAAGGGGTGTGGGGAGAGATTGGAATAATTGAATTTCAAAATGGTAGAACTAAAACTACCTGGTTTCAAAAATAATTATAAAGACTTCAGTAATCAAGATACTGTGGCATTGGCATAAAGAAATACAAATAGATTAATATAACAGACTAGAGAAACTATAAACTCAAAGATATGGTCAACTGATTTTCAACTGAAGAGCCAATTCAATTTAATGGTGAGAGGATAGTCTTTTTAACAAATGGAGCTGCAATAATTATTTAAAAAAAAAAAAAGAACCCTGGGGGCTGGGGATGTGGCTCATGCGGTAACTCGTTCACCTGGCATGCGTGGGGTGCTGGGTTTGATCCTCGGCACCACATAAAATAAAGATGTTGTGTCCACCGAAAACTAAAAAATAAATATAAAAAAAAGAACCCTAATCTATATATGACATCATATACAAAGATTAAGACAAAGTGGATCATAGACCCAAGTGTAAAATCCAGAAGTCTAAAAGATCTAGAAAAATACATAGGAGAAATGTGCCCTTGGGTTAGGCAAAATTTGCTTACTTACCACACCAAAAGCAGGAACCACTAAAGGAAACAATAAATTGGACTTGAAACCTATATTATTTGAAAAACACTATTAGAAGAAGAAAAGGACAAGTCACAGAATGGGAGAAAATACTTGCAAATCACCCATCTGATAAAGAAGTTGTATTCAGCTAGGGATGAAGGCACATGCCTGTAATCCCAGTGACTACAGAGGCTAAAACAGGAGGATCTCTAGTTCAAAGGCAGCTCAGAGATGGGCATGGTGGCGCACACCTGTAATCCCCAGCAGCTCCGAGGCTGAGACAGGAGGATCATGCGTTCAAAGCTAGCCTTAGCAATGGTGAGGTGCTAAGCAACTCAGTGAATCCCTGTCTCTAAATAACATAGGGCTGGGGATGTGGCTCAATGGTTGAGTGCCCTTGAGTTCAATCCCCAGTACCCTCCACCCCAAAGAAGTTATATTCAGCAGGATAATCCCAGCATCAAGGAAGCTGAAGTTAGAGGATCTCAAATTCTAGGCCAGCTTTAGCAATTTAGTGAAACCCTGTCTCAAAATTAAAAATAAAAAGCACTGGGGATGTCACTCAGTTGTAGAGTGCCCTTGGGTTCTATCCCCAGTTCCATAAAAAAAGAAAAGAAAAAGAAAGGAAACTGATTGGTAGTTATCTGGGGATTAGGGTCCGTGGCAGGGAAGGCATGTAGAAGTCTTATAAAGAGGCATGAAAAACTTTTGGAGGTCATGGGTAAATTCATTAATTTAATATAATATAAAATGTGCTAGGGATGCAGCTTAGTGGTAGAGCACTTGCCTAGCATGTAGAAGTCCCTGGGTTCAATCCCCAGAATTGCAAAAGAAAATAGACATTGTTATTGTTGCTAGTTGGAACAGGGAAATTCTGCCTGAAGAGTGAGAAAGTACCAATATTTATATCTTTTTCCTCTATCTCTCTTTTTTTTTTGTTTCTAGTGCTGGAGATTGAACCCAGGACCTTGAGCATGCTAAGCAAGCCTTGATTTACTTCTTAAATGGATTCATTAATTCCTAATCTGAAGAGATTAACATCAATTTGGATCTTGTTATCCATTAGTCAGGTGAAATCATCATTTGAAGTCAATATTTTCTCAAATACAGTTAAATATCATCAACAAAAAATGAGTTCTAAAAAAAATGTACCTGGTGATGAAAAGTTAAAAAAAAAACTTGTAATCTATAAATCTTCTGATTCACTACCTACCTCTTTGGCTCGTATGAGCTGTGCTTTTTCAATCCTAGAGATGACTGTCTGTACTGAGAATGGGATTTCAAGGTAAGAGACCACTGGAACATCAAGGGTACTTCCAGGCTTTCTTCTCGTGGTCGAGGCATCATTCTCTTTTTCTGATTCAGAATCACTATCTACCTCATTTCTCATTTTGGTAAATGTTTGAAATTTTGGGTGTTTTTCTTTTATTCTTTTCCACAGAATATAGGCAAATGCTAATAAAAGTGTTTCCACTAGGAAGCCAGAAGCCTGCTCCTAGAGATTGTGACTTAGCTTACTACCAACTGATTCCTAACCATGGTATTCCAGACCCAGTGATGTCATAATAGATCTACTGTGACATTAATATTGACTCATACATTTAAAAAGTGCTTACTATATGCAGAGAACTAGGCATTCTATATGCTGTGTTGGTAGACGGGTGAAGGGGGGAGGGAGGGGAGGAAAGAATAGACAACAGGAACACTAAAAGATATAGAAGACGTAGCCCTGCTTAAATGAACTTGAAATCTAGGTGTTAGAATTCAAGATGCAATCCAGTATATCAAATGTAATTCTTGGTTCTTCTTTTCTCTTAGTTTCGCTTAAATATTTTTAAACCTGTTATAGGATAGTACTTTACAATTTTCACAGCTGTCCCTTAACTTTTCCTAGACATGTAGTAATTGGAAGATATTATTTAGATGCATATCACACTCTTCCTCCTCCTCCTCCTCTTTTTCTTCTTCTTTTTTAAGGAAATTGACTGATTCAAGTTCCATAGTTGGCTCAAAAAATCAAAAGGAATGCTAAAGGCTGCTTTCCACCTGAGAAGAGGAGTGCTTTGGGCAGCTCCTTTGATTACAGAGGAAGTGAAAGGATTTAGGAGGCTGGAGCAATTAAAGGATAGGGTGTTTTGTTCACTGTGTAGCTTTATTTTTTAATTTAAAATGTATAAAAGTACAGAAAATAATATAACAAATCGCTATGTACTTATCACCTAGAGTGAACAAATATTTTGTCTTAGTCAATTCTGATATTTTGTTAGTTTTCTCTTTAGTTTTGCTTCAGATATTTTTAAATAAAGGAAAGTATTAGAGAACTGACATCCCCTTTGTTGTCCTCCCCAGATTCCTTCCTTCCCCTCTTCCATTCCAAATGCAATAACAATCATGAATTTAATGTATCTGTATCTAGTCTACATAGTTTTGCATGTGTTCATAAACTATATAGTATCATTTTACAGGTTTTAAATTTTATACAAATTATGGACGTATAACAATTTCTCTATCAGAACTTCTTATTTAAGACCTTTTGGTAAATATATTGTAAAATTAGTCCTATGATGATATCTTGTAAACTTATAAAATTTATGTTTCATAATTTGTAAAAACACAATTTTGATGTTTTAAAGATAATCAGTATATTAGGGAGCAAATTACATATTTTCCCTTCTCCTTAAGATGTCATTTTCTGAGTGATTCCCTCCTCTATGTTCTCAAATCACTTGTAAATTTTTTATTATAGTATTTATCTCATTAAAATATAACTATTATTTATCCACTCCTTGGTGAGCTTCCCAAAACCAGATGCTCTACTTTTGTTTTTCTCATATTTGGCATATTTTTCATCAGTTCTCCCAGAGAAACTGAGTAAAATGTAGAGATGCATTATTATTTTCAGTATCTTTCTTTGTGGAACCTTTTTTTTTTTTTTTTTTTTTTAGTGGTGCTGGGGATTGAACCCAGAGCCTTACGCAAGTCAGGCAATCACTCTACCAACTAAGCTACCTCCCCAGCCTTTGTAGAAACTTTTTTAAACCCCAGAATACTTTGATTGTCAGACCAACTTCATTCATTTAATCAAATTCATGTTTTCTTTTTTTTTTCCATAATGTTTTCTGAAAGGACTACAATTAAGGAGCTATTTTTATAAATATGAGGTCTGATTAAAATACCTATCATTATCCAGCATTTATTTATTTATTTAATTTTGGGGGGATGATATTGGGGATTGAGCCCAGGGGTGTTTTACCATTGAGCTATAACCCCAGTTCTTTTAATTTTTCCCCCCAGTTCTTTTAATTTTTAATTTTCAGACAGGGTCTCATTGAGTTAATGAGGCTGGTCTTGAACTTGTGATCATTCTGCCTCAGCTTCCTGAGTTACGGGGATTACAGACATGCATCACTGCTCCCAGCATTATCCAGCATTTCTTGACATTATGAATTCACCTCTTTAAGTACTTTGTTCATCATAATATTCATGTGTGAGAGCCTTACTTAACTTTTCTCTCATTGCTTATTCCAGTAGGCATTCATAAAGCAGCCAAAATGTTAACTAAACTAACTTAGCATTATTACTCTCTCTCCTGCTCTCTTGCTTGTATGTTTCATGCAGCATGGAATTCATCAGCAATTGGAAATGAAGTCTTTTTAAAGCAAACTTTCAAAATTCTTCTAACCATTCGACAAGCATTTGTTGAGACACTATTATGCAGCTATCATTATCCTAAACTGAGAAGAATATATAAGGTTCCTGTGAAGAAACTAAAAAACAAAAAAATAAACAATTTGAGATAAAATATAACAATCAAGTGCAAAAAGGGACATGAAGAAGAGATCTGTGGAGAACAGAGTCTTTGGGAAAACTTTATGGAGAGAGATGGTTGGTTGACAAATGAAGGCACTGCAGATAGGGAAGATACCTTGAGTCATGGCTTTGGAGGTGAGTACTAATGAGTTTGTATCTTGGGGGGCAATTGAAGAGATTGGTCTAACCAATGAGATGAAGCAATGAGAGTTTACTGGGGAATCAGACTAGGGAGGGTCTGTGTTACTAACAATCTGATGATGGAATCAATTTGGTATGTGAGAAAGTGAGAGGTTTCCTTTGAGGTTAAACAAGGGAGATTCCAAAGGATCAGATTGGCAAGGTGTTGAAAGCAAGTAACAGCAGTTTGGAGATTATGAAACCTTCACTTTAGAAGATTTTTTAAAAATAAGGAAGGAGAGTCTGGGGCGCAGTGGAGCATGCCTATAGTCCCAGTGACTTGGGAGGTTGAGGCAGGAAGATTGCAAGTTCCAAGTCAGACTCAGACTTAGTAATTTAGGGAGGCCCTAAGCAACTTAGCAAAATCCTGTCTCGAAATAAAAAATAAAAAGGGCTGGGGATGTAGCTCAGTTATAAAGTGCCCCTGAGTTCAATCCCCAGTACCAAAAGGAGAAGAATAAAAAATTGGAATGGAAAAAAATTCATTGGAAAAGATCAAGGCATGATTATTTCAAAAGACAAGTGTCTGAACTAGGGTATGCATGGGACTGGTAAGGGAAGGATAAATCTAGCAAAAAATTATAAAGGTAATTTTTAAAACCTAATTTTTATTTTGTTTCATTTAAGTATGGCAGAAAAACCGATGGAGTTGCTATCTAGACTAGGTGTAATTATATGCATTATGTTAATCAGGAGACCTCCTTTGAGCGAGCCTGGAGCAAGTTCTTTAAAGGTGTGCCTAAGGGAAACCCGCCCTCCACCGAGAGCTCCTTCAACTGTAAAGTGGTGTATTAAAATAAAACTATTTATTGCATAGGATTGTTTTAAAATTAATTCACGCAAAATGCTTGGTATATTGCCAAGCACACAGTAAGAATTTACTGTACAATAGCAGTACTAACATCTTTACTACTCTACAGCTTTTTTTCCCCCCTCTGCCTTTTTCTGCGAGCCACTACGTTTTCAACAGGGCTGGGCGATTATTCCACTACACTTCACATAAGATCGGCTTCTAATCAGATCTAGATTTTGAAATATGAAAACTGTGGAATTATTAGGGCTGTGGTACCTATCTGGCAAGGGATAAAATGCATCAATAACATTTTTACTCAATCTCTTGGCACAGAATGACGCCTCCTTCTGATGGTCTCCCCCGATCCCAGACAATAGTACATTCCACACTGCTGGCGGAATAGGTGTAGTGCCTAAGTTGAGCGCGCCAAGGGCTTCCTCTTCTCCCGGAAGCAATTTTTCTCTAGAACCGGAAAGAGTTGTTGTTTCAAGGGAGGCGGGACTGGGCGGGTCGGGCCGCTGCGGCTGACGGCGGGGGAGGAGTCGGGTCCACTGCCGGGTGGAGGGGCAAGGCGAGTGTCCTTATCCTAGCGAGTGGGGCTCGGGCCTGCGTGCCAGTTGGAGTCGCGGCGGCGGGAACGTTTGGGCCGAGCGGAGGAAGACATGTTGCTCTTCGTGGAGGTGAGTGGACTTGGTAATCTTCTTCTCTGAGGAGAACTGGAGTGTAGAGGCGCCGGCCGGTCCCACCGCCATGTGACTTTCCAGGCCGTACACGCCGCGGAACCGGCAGATAGGCTGACACAGCACCTGGGCCGTGCAGGCCTGCAGCTCCGCTCTGCGCGCTCCCAACACTTTGGGAAGCTGTGAGGGTGAGGCCCATACCGCGGGAGGACGGGAGGTGGGGTATCGGGGGCTTGTCTGGTTTGGCTTGAGGATCAGAGGAAGCTAAAAGTGTCCCATATGGATCTAAAGGAGGCGAACGGGCGGGGGTGGGGGGGGCGGAGTCTGTCGGAGAAAAGGGTAATCAGGTGGGCGCGTTCTCGGGAGTGAGGCGAGGCCTCGCGGGGCCTCTGGGAGGAAGGCGAGCAACATGTGGGACCCCGGAGGGAGAAGGTGAAATGTGTTTTCTTGGTTTGTTTTGGAGTTTTATCGGGGGGCGGGGAGTGTTAAGTGTTTGGGGAAAAAAAAGCTTTTTTGCAGTTTCCACCAAATTTTGTTCGGTCCATGTCCCTAAATCTCTGGAACGTTCTATGGGCGAAAACGAGTTACTGTGAACGGAGGGGAAGCCTGTAGGTCTGGAAGTCTTGAAAGGCACCGCTTTGACCTTTTGTAAAAGTTACTCAGGCGGCGACTGCGTGATGCGGGTTGGTTCTATGAACCGATAAAACCTCTTTACAAGGAAAATTCCAAGAGTGAAAGAAACGTAGTCTGGGAAAAGCCTTTTTTTTTTTTTTTTTTGTATTGTCATTTGAGCAATAGAAATACTTTTATTACTTTAACTGGAACGTGTGCTCTTGACTTATTTTAGGTTTCAAAGTAGCGGTACCTGCCTTATACAAACGCGAACTTTAATTTCTGTCGTTTCTGTCCTTCTGTTGTGTGCAGTGAGCGTCAGCTGACTGCCTGGCTAATACTTTGAGTAGATTCCAGATCATATTGTTCTTACATTGTGAAAACATCAAACCAGCAAAGCTGCAACTTCGCAACTTGGGTTTTGTTAATCAAGCCGGTAAAAAGAAGCTTTTCAATGAGGGAAGGAAATTACAGGTTGTATAATGGATATAATGGACTGAGATCTAGGAGCAGCCGGTGGAAAGTGTTTTGTGGGGTGGTGGGCTGGGAGAATTTTACTCCGTAGTATTCCTACAGAAAGTAAATGTTTAAAAAAGTATTTTTCTTTTAACCTAATACTGTATTTCTAATAAGTCAAATGATTTTTATTGTTCTGTGGTGCTGGGAATTGAATCCAGGGCTTCTCGCGTGCTAGGCAAAGTTAAGTGCTCAACCACTGAGCTACATCACCAGCGCAGAGATCTTTCAATTAAGTTTAAATCTACTTTAGAGTATATCAATATTAATAATAAACATTCATTGGAATATTCCAAGCACATCATTAAAAAGTTTAAAATTGCTGAACTCATTCTGCCTGTTCATCCTTTTAAAATCCATAGTTTTCTTCAGAATAAGAAATCCGATTTGATTTTAAGCCAGTGCTAGTTTGTTTTAGGAATGTTATGCCAAGCAAATACTACATAGTTTTAAGTTTGCGTATGTTTTGTCAGGCAGAAGATTGTGCAGTTGCTTTATATCAACGTGAATTCCAAAGTAAACTTTTTTTTAGATTGATTCCTTTGGCGTTATTAATTGTGAATTTCAGTAATAGGTACATTTATTGAGTAAGTACCTCTAAAGTGATATTGCAGCATTTTACAAAGAAAGAAACTGAGGCAAACAGTAGAACTGGAATTTAGGGTAAAAGCCTGTAATCCAAGCAGTGTGGGAAGTTGAGGCAGAAGGATCACAAGTTCAAAGCCAGCCTCAGCTACTTGGTGAGGTCCTAAGCAATTTAGTGAGACCCTGTCTCAAAATAGAAAACAAAAAGGCCAGTGGTAGGTGCCCCTGGGTTCAGTCTTCAGTAACAAAAACCAAAAAAACCCTGGGATTTAGATTCAGGGGATTCTAATGTCAAATCAGTCCTCACTTCCCAGTTTAGACAGCTCTACCTTATCTTACTAAACTATTATGTAAAGTTAATATTCCTATTAATCAGTTCTTCATATCATGAGTTTTTTTTTTTTTAAAGAGAGAATTTTAAAAAATATTTATTTCTTTTTTAGTTCTCGGCAGACACAACATCTTTGTTTGTATGTGGTGCTGAGGACCGAACCTGAGCAGCACGCATGCCAGGCGAGTGCGCTACCGCTTGAGCCACATCCCCAGCCCCATATCATGAGTTTTATTGAAGATTAACAGTGTGATTAAATATTTGATACTGAACATATAGTGTTAAAATCTGTCAAAAATAACGCTTTGGTCATTTGGCATTTTCCTAATATTTGATTCTTAAAACCTCATGATACCAGAATTATTCTCAATGAGGGGAAACAAAGCTCAGAAGTTAGATGTCTAAAGTAATTCAGGTGTAAATAAGGTGGGACTAAAGTCTGAAGTCTGGCTTTCAGAATACAAGTCTTTGGCTCACCAGGATTCTTCATTTAGGTTCCTGGATAAAACTGGAGAAGTACCTTAGTTGAGGTTGAGTTTGAGGAAAAAAACTTGCCTGTTTATTTTCCTTAGCTTTTGACAGGAATCTAGATGGAAAAGAATCAAAAATTTTTTTTAATTCAAAGAAGACAGCAGAGTTTGTGACTTTGTCACCAAGAGAAAAACCAGGTTTTTCATATTAGAAGTTTTATAGATATCTTGAAATATTGTTTATGCTCATTACTCCTTTTTATATGTTTAGAAATTTACTTAAAGGACATTCACTACCATATTAGACATTTTAAAATATTTTGATAACTGTATTTCAATATTACTGGTTTGCTTTGTAATCCTGTATACTTCAGGTGGTGTTTTAAAAGAGTCTGAGACCTGTTTGTGGTGGTGCACCTCCCCAAGGGCTGGGGAGTCTGAGACAGGAAGATCATAAGTTCAAAGCCAGCTTTGCAATTTAGCAAGGTGCTAAGCAATTTAGAGATGCCCTATCACGAAATAAAAAATAAAAAGGGCTGGGGATGTGGTTAAGTGCCCCTGGGTTCAATCCCTAGTATGTACACATACACAAAATTCAGAGAAGAGATCCATAGATCAATCAGACTAAAGAAGTCTGGCACGAAAGGTTAAGAACCACTTTATTAAATGAAGTTGCTTGTGGATATTATCTTTGGCAGAGTTAATCTGGGATCCATGACTCCTCTGTGGTTGTGATTGAAATATTACTTGCATGTATTTTTTTTTTCCCCAAAGAGACGCCCAGCTTAAATAGTTTATAACTGGAATCGGTGGGATAGCTATAGAGGACAGAATGCCTTGATTTTATTTTTATATGATACTAAGGATCAAACCCAGTGCCTCACACATGCTAGGCAAGTGCTCTGCCACTGAGCTAAAGCTCCAGGCCTGGTCTGAAAATGTTTCATCCCCATGCCTCCTACGTTTCTGGCACATTAGATGTTTTGCATTTATATATATATATATATATCCGCTCAAGCTTCACATCTCTTTGAGGTATTCTTAACCCCATCTTAAAGATAAAAGAAACTAAGGCACAGAGAACTTGTCAAGATTATATAGCTAATTAAAGTTGAAGCTGGAATTAGATCTCATAAATCATAGTTATTTTGTAATAGACATCTAAAGGCAGATAAGGAATTTAAAGTAATACATGCAATTTTTTTTAAACTTGGACTTTTTTTCCTTTTCTTTTCTTTTTCTTTCCTTTTTTTTTTTTTTTTTTTTTTGTACTGGGGATTGAACCCAAGGGTACTTTGTCACTGAGCTATATCCCCAGCCCTTTTTATTTTTTATTTTGAGATAGGGTCTCACTAAGTTCCTGAGACCGGCCTGGAATTTGTGATCCTCCTGCCTCACTCTCCCTGGTCACTGGGTTTAATGCCAGCAGACCTGGTTTAACCTTCTGTTTCATCGAGGGACTATTTTGATTTAAGGTAGTTTGTGTGTTTTGTTTTGTTTTTTGAAGACACCTATGTTCTGAGACAGTTTCTGTCTGGGAAGAGGGGGGAAAAGTATGGATAATGTACAAAGTTGTCAAATGTGACCTGACTTAAATTCCTTTACAGGATATTTTGTATTTTAAACAGTGATATGTGCCCTTCTTCCATGTGCTGTCAGGTTGTTTAAAACTTTTGAGCACCTGGAGACAGGTTGTAATTTTGTTAACATGTTGATCATTTTTCAGACCATATTCCCTCATTAAGTTGTTGAGGCTGGCCTCTAACTTGAAATTCTCTTGCCTCAGCGTCCCAACTTGCAGGAATTTTCAGATGTGTTCCATCACGCCTGGCCAAGATAATTTTTAACTATGGTAAAATACATATAAAGTTTATCATTTTTAACTATTAAGTTTACAATTCATTGTTATTTTTAAAGATGTGCACATTGTTGTGCAACCATTACAACCATACAACTCCAGAACTTGTTTCATCTTGGGATAATGAAGCTGTCTGCTCATTAAACAGTAATTCCTCATTTCTGTGTTTCCTAGGATTTAATGTAATAAAAAAATAAATTTTAGCTGTGCGGATTCCATGCACCTATAACCCCAGTACTAGGGATGCTGAGGTTTGAGAATCATTTGAGCTCCAGAGTTGGAGACCAGCCTGGGCAGCATAGTGAGACCCAGTGTTAAAAAAGTTTTCTTGCTTTTTTAGGCAATAACATTACTAGTTTTAGATTCTGAAATAAGTTGTAAGATATTTGCCTGGATAATTTTTATTAATTTTGTTAATTATTAGTAGTGTTGTGCCTTTTGCCCCAAATAAAGTACTCAGTTGTTTCCCATCAGCTTCTTTATTAGTAGAGTTATTGGATATCACTGACTGACCAAAAAAAAATGAACAAATTGTGAAATTTTTGCCAAGGAAAGTTATAAGTGAGTTTTGAACAGTTCAATTCTGGACTATATACTGGAGCTGGTAGTATGTTTTTTGTTTGTTTGT